AGAAAGACGAACCAAAACTTCATTGAAAAGCATTTTGCATTCACCCCTTTAGACTTTTTCTGTATACTGGAACATATAACTGGAAAATAAGTAATTAGTCCAGAAGAATCTATTTCCCGTCCTTTGCATGCCTTTGATATGACTATATTATATGCGTGACAAAGGAGCTCATAACAAGTTGTCTGCAACCCACACGGGATGTTTTCCTAGATTTTACATCAAATCATGAACATTTTTTCAGGGGTAGCAATGAAAGCTTGTGCTACAGCTGTGCAAACGTGCCGAAAATGTGAGCTGTGTTTCAGCATCCGCCGCTATTTCCTGTGGTATTCAAATGTTGAGATTACTGTACCGGGATATTGATTACATGCAATAGTCACTGAACCACGGAGACTGGTCAAGTGCATTCTAAGAAAATTGAGCAATGCATTGTTCTGACGCATTCAGTGGGAAGTGTCAACCTACTAATCACGTCCCAGAGATGCTGTTTTTGTGTGAGATAAACCAACTGAAGGTCGTTAAGGTACTCAGTTCAATTTTGACATCGTAGCGTCAACATGTTCCTGCAATTACTTCAGGTTTTCCAAACGTTCGCAGCTTACAGCTTGCTGTTTTTCGTATTTTCAATTGGAGCGTTACTCAAACCAAGGCCACTTTTTCGAGATGTCATTGTCCGGGCTTTCGATGCCGTCACCAGAACAAAGTTACCTGTGGCCTCTTACTGGGAATCCCTCTTCAGCGATCAGATGTTCCAAAACGTATGGCACAGCGTGGAGTTGGACCTGTACAAGAAGATCAAGGAAGGCTGTAAAGCTCCTGACACACCTGTCGTTTCCTTGTCTGCAAAACACTGTTTTTCCCTGTTGAAGATGGCAAAACCTGGACGTCCTCTCGTTCTGAACTTTGGAAGCTGCACCTGCCCAATATTCATGAGCCAGTTAGATGCATTTCAGAAGATGGTCAACGACTTCAGCCAAGTTGCTGACTTTTGTGTTGTTTATATTGAGGAGGCGCATCCCTCTGACGGATGGGCACTAAAGGTAACTTTAATTAGTTCTTCCAGAAAACGCGAAAACTCTAAAAACTATAGAAAAAAAAGAGAGAGAGAGAAAAAAAAACAACGCTGCCACAAACACATTCTCAACATTCCAGCACATGGGGGAGTCTCAAACGCATTTTGTCCTGCGGCAAGCGAAACACTTTTGCGCATGTAAATTTTATCTTAAAGTCGAACTTATTATTTCAATGTTACTGAGATACGAGGTAATACTGACTAGCGCATAAGAGGGGTATATATTTTTTTATACGCTAATATTGATTGGGTAGCAAGTGCTAACAAATTTATTTTGTTCCAGGACAATTACGAAATCCGAACACACAGAACACAGAACGAAAGATGCCTCGCCGCCCGAGTATTGGCGCGAAAACTTCGCGGATGTCCAGTGGTGGTGGACACAATGCTTGACGCAGCCAACATTGCCTACGGCGCCCTTCCCATCCGCTTCCATGTAATTGAGGACGGAAGAGTTGCTTATGAAGGTGGGCCTGGTCCTATGGGCTATGACATGATGGGCGTGAGGCAGTGGCTTGAAAAGAACTATGCTACCGTGTCACCGTAGGACAAATATAAAACGTTTCAGTGGAACTACCGAAACATCAAAGCAGAGACATGCGCACAGAAACATGTCTACAGGAGTCAGCACGTAACCTTCTTCATCTCGTCTTCGAGATTTGCCGGATGATAATTTTGCGTCTTGTCGGCTTGAATGAGCAAAGGTATATCGTGAACTTTGTTTGACTAAAAGAGATGAGTAACAGGAGGCAGGTCACTGATATGTTGACAAAACTACCTTAACAAACAAAACTCAGTGTATTAAAAGAGAACAATAGCCAAACTGTCTTGGGTTTCAATTTCAAGCGAACTGGCACGGATTACTTCAGTGACTATAGCCCATCGCCTTGCTGGCAAAAAGACAATAAAGTTAATACGGACATATTTCCAATAATATTATTTAAAGAACCTAAAGCCGGGCTGAGCCGAGCCTTACACAACGAAATATTGCCAAGAGAAAATTGAATCAATTAGAAAATATTTAACAGCATGTTTATTATATTGTATTTTTCGTCAATAAAGCTTTGAAAATTGTTTGTGTCAGAGTTATCTTCCTTGTTACCTGGATAACGAGAAAATAGCATAAGGTCTCATTAAACGTTATGTTCACCCAGAAAATGACTTATTACAGAGCAAAACGTTTTAAGAAAATTTCTCTCCAACACGACAAAATAAATTTTTTTGGTCAGGTTTGACCAAGGGACAACTGAAGTGCACTTAATTCATCTTATCCAGGCTAAATTAACACTTCTTTAGATCCCTTTAACTGCGCCCGGTATAATGGAAGGAAAAACACCTCGATATTGGTACCCGTAAAACTTTACAGACATGAACGTAACGACCAGTAATCTGGCCACTGTTAGACCTTCAGGCCGTGCCAACAACTTTCTTCGCTTTTTATGAAAACCATCGTCAACAAAATCTTTAGGGGGAGTAAGATGACCATTTGTTTACCTAACAGAAAGTTTCATACATAATCTGCTCAGGATACTCTATACATGTACACTTTGAACCTGATGGATACTTGAGAAGGGCGGGCAACCGAACATTATAATTAGTCACCTACCACCGGCAGCTTATGTAACGAGTGGTCATGTGAAAACTCTTCATTCAACAACAACAACAACAACAACAACAATTTATTTGTACAACATCGCACAATTTCATCAAAAATTTCCTTAGTTAGATTCCAATGGGACAGTAGATCAGTTTACAGTTTAATAACTAACTGGATGACCATCACATAGCTAAGTTTAATCATAACATGACTCGGGGTGCAAGATTGAACAACAAGGGTTAGGGCCATTTTAGTATCAAAAACTACAGGTTGCGGCAACTACATAGAAACATTGATATGTGGTACACGTGACTCATCATCGGCGGTCGCTGACAGAAACTATTCGTTGCACGATAACAATAACAATATCAACCGTCAGAACAATTCATTTGTACTGCAGTGTACAGTCTTCCTCTAACAATTAATTAGTAAAACCGGCGATAAGGAGACTAAACGCCTTTATAATTTGCGAACTATCTGGATAACCACCATATAGTTACGTTCAACCATCACATGACTCAAGGTTCAAGATTAAACAATAAGGGTTACGGCCAGCTTAGTATCAAGAGACAATGGGTGCGTCAGTTACTATATGGAAACATCGACAATTGTGCAAGGAAAGAAGAGTTGAAATATTCTGCACACGAACTCCTCAGTTATTCAATTAGGCTGTTATCTACCTTACAGATATTTACCACCGAAGATTGAGTCTTTTGACAGTTTGCATGCAAGTGAGGAAAGCAATCGATTGCCTAATGCCACGATCAAAAGACACGAATCAACTATCCCAACTGGTGTCATGCGCATTGCCTTCTACCAACATGGTTTTGAATGTCATCACGTAATAAGCTTTTTTCTTCAAAGCGGTAGCGGCATATAGGAAGTTTTCATCGTGTTGTCATAAAAGCTTAAGCGGTACTTTCCCTCGTTATAACTTTCTCAGATGCTTAAGTCGCGTAGAAATTAGAAGCCTGCTTTTCGTGATGAATTTTGTAGCCTTTTTCAAGGCACGGCGCATTAGGTCAGAGGATCATTGTCGTCAGCCATCCTTTACATGATAACCAAATCACATTTGTCAATTCAGAATACGTAGGGTATCGGATATTACGCGTTTGCTTTTAATAACGAACTTTTGTGCTCTCGTTAAGACTGGAGAAACCCAGTGCAATGCGCGTACATGGCCCCAACAAAGCTGGAAAAGCTGTGCAAACGGATCCAACATTGTTGCGCTAAGTTTCGGCGATCACGGAACTGAAAAGAAATGTTAGGAGTGTTGGCTCAAAAGTTTGACTGGTTTCAAACTTTTCGCAACAACTTCCAACAACATGCAACAGGGTGCGCAAACGGACGCAATATAAGTAACACGCAACATGGAGTTGCTGGCCAACATTGAGGCGTTCGTTTGCACAGGGCTTGAGGCTACTTGACACGCTAGGTGCCCGGCGTAATGGGAAGACTACCAAAACAAGTACAGGTAGACCTCGAATTCAAAAATATGTGTGAAAGATGATTTTGCCTCTAAACGTTGACGACTTTCGTCACGTGGCTTTGCCTGCCAAACCAAGATGGTGAACTCACGTGGTCAAATTCCCGAGCATTTCAAAGGCTGCGTTGAATAATGGCGTTCTCTTTCAACCGAAAAGGAGGAACTTTTTTTCTTTCGCGGAAAAACAATCGATGAAAAGTATTTCAGTTGAATATTGTAGTCCTCTATAACTCTGCATGCGTGAACAAAGACGTCAGCAATGAGGAAGGAATGTGACCACGGGAGTTAACTTTTTAGGTTTCCCAAACAAAGTCACCTGACCTGTAGTTTAAGTCAGACGTCAAAATCAACTGTCAAGCGTATCTTTCGTGGTATATTTGTCTCGGTGGTACCCAGGCTTAGAGGGCAAATTAGCCTGAAGATGTACTGGAAACAATTGTGCTAAATACTTTTAGAGAGAGTCAAACAAAGTTTTCCAAGCGCAAATTTTACTTGATCTATCTATGTTCTTTGACTCCGTTCTGTGGGGGGGGGGGGGGCACCTTCCTGGGAAGTACATGGCCCTGTTAGAGAGAGTCCACCGTAGGCCAATCAACACACTAATTTGTCTTAAAGCAGTAAACAACTTTGTCGAAGAACAAAATTTAATTCTGACAAATGTACGGTCTTAAGACTGAGTACAATCCATAACCTAAGAAAAGAAAGGAGGAAGTGCAAATTTCTATGATATTCACGTTGACCTCCGCAAAGTGTTTTTAAACACGTTGTTTTAAAGTATTAAAATACTTAAAGTTGACTTAAACTTTTATAACTCTAATATTTTTTTTAACCAGCCCCACTCCCGATTACTTTGGACTGGAAGTCGGCGACTCCGACGTACCCGAGTCTTCACACGATAGAGATCGTAAACTGTCATGTTCCCTCTTTATTATTATTTCTAAAAGCATATCTTCTTCTGCCTCCGTAAGTGAGAAAGTCCTGAATCTGTCCCGTAACGATGTCAATTTCTTGTTAAGCTCTTTGAAAGTGTTATCCAATCCATTTTTCTTGTATTCTGCTCTAAACAAGTTGTCTTCGTCGCTGGAATCGTCCACCGTCCATTTTTCTTGAGGACCGATAGTATTAGCCAGCAGGTTAAACCCGAATAAATCTTTGAACTTCTTCATTAAGAACTCTACTAGTTCAGGGTCCGTCTCAGAATCTATCATCGTGGATTCTCTGTCCTCAAAAGCAGCGTTTATTATGGACACAAACATGTTTAGAAGGATGAGTTCCATGAGAACACTGTAAGTGAGAAAGAGGGTAGGGCCAAGGACCCGATTCACCTGCTCTAGGTCGTGAAAGTAGGATGCTCCTAAAATGGCGTTAAGCATGGCTTGAAATGAAGACGGCAGAGAAATAAAATCCTCTAAATGAGCACTGAACCATATGTGAGCCATAAGCACGAAAGGAAGAAACCACAACATAAATTGCAATGTGAATAGAATAATTTCCTTGCGCACGTTAGAAAACGTTCGACTGAGTAGTTTGATGTGGTTGTTGTACCTCAAAAGGTATAGAAACTTGATTGTTGTGAGAAAGACAACAAATGCTATCATGTAGGTATCAATCTCGCTCCACGTTAGCAGCATGGAGAAACTGACGAAAACAAATGGATTCTCGCTGAGATCTTTCATAGTTTCGTTGATGCTTACCATCTTAACAAAATACAGAGCGACGGACACTAACGCGAACAAGACTTGAAAAAGATCAACGAGATTCCAGAATTTTGTGAAATATGACAGTCTTTGATGGTATAGCCGCTTGACAACTTTGTAAAGAAAAAATATAATCACAAGACAGATGATAAGCTCGGCGGCCAATGTCACATTACCGAGTTCTCCCAGGTACCTGTAGACACGTATGGTGTCAATCCTACGGAAGGTAACTACACCTCCTGTCGGCATTCCCTCAGCTAGAAGGGTGATGACGCTGAAAAGGTTTACCTGCGCGTTATAGACTGTCAATTCGACGAAGATTCCACGAGATCGGCGATCAAGCCATTTGTGTTGCGCGAGTTCTAGAATTACCTCTTGCGCCTTTGAAATGTAGTAGCCAAGCTCTGCAACATACCCTCCCCCAGAGTACATGGTTGTTTTGCCCCACATTGGGACCCCTTTCAAATCACTGGCCGAGTGATAACGCCATGGCCTTGGACATAGCTCATGTGTTATGTTTTCTGCTGGTGTGCTTGGAGGAACAGGGATCCAGTCAGGTTGATAAATAGCCATGTCTTCGTCTTCCATTGAATATGACCCATAGCAATCATTTAAGAGAAACTTCTTGACTGTTGGAATGTCATAACCGCAAGAATCTATAAAAAAGACATATATTAAGTCAGTGTGATTCTGTTTTGTTCGAGTAAGCTTCGCCAATACGATTAACAATACAGTTAAAAGCTATCTCATTCACGTAACTGATCCTTGAGCACACTTTAAACAATTTCAGCTTTCCAAACAATAATAAAACGATGTTTTATTTTCACAGACCCTCTATTTTCTCTTCATATCGTCAACTACGCATAGGATATTTAAAACCTAAGGGTCTTTATTAAGGTTTAGCACAAGTGGATGGGACTTCCAAATCGTCGAGAAAAGAAAAGAAAAAACAAAGTCTGAAGACCGATAAGTATTAGAAAAGCGCACTGGCTCTTTCATTAAGTAAACTTAGATTTAAAATTCTTTTTGGTCCTTACCTTCCTTAATTCTTAGCTGTCTGATCCGTGTCATGCCAACAAGAGCCGAGCACCTATCACTCATCAGTCCATCCTCGGATGCGGATGGAGCCTGGTCATTATACCATGGACGTACAAAAATAATCGGAAGAAGAGACGTTAGAGCCCAGCCCCACACGTCTATATATTTTGAAGCCTAAAATAAACAAATAGAAGCTAGGAGTCTGAACATCAATGTCTGGCCTTCGGGAGGGTAAGTATTAGCGCTATATTTATGTCTATAGATTAGAAGTTAATTGGGATGCTGCTTACTTCATTCCCCAAGCCTTTATGCACACATCCAAGTGAACAGTTTGACATGAGAGATACCCTATTGAAATGGATACAGCCTTGGTTATGGGATTCCGGTACAGTGCACTGAACTCATCGGACTCGGTCATGTAGTAGGTGTCGAAACTTAAGAGTTCATTAATTGTCTTAGCCTGCGCCACAGACGGAATTAAACTTCTTATTAAGTTCGTCAGCGAACAGCGCCGAAATCTTTGTTCTGGTCCCCCACCTGTGTACCAGGATTTGAGTATACGCGCCATGATTGGCCTGTTAAAAAAAGCCATTGTCGATTTGCCAATCAGCTTGAAGGGAAATTCGAAACGCATTTCCGGTAATTCGTTGAGTCCGTCAGGGGCCCAGAACAAGGATCTCGGCGCTACTAACCGAGGTTAGATTACGACTGCGACTCAAGCTATAATTGTCATTGGTTCCCAGTGGTGGATCCAGGGGAGGGGCCCGTGGGAGCTGCCCCCCCCCGAGAGACTGCCCTTCCTCCATATCTCAGGGTCTGGATGACCGGCCCCCCTCTTATCTGAAGGTCTGGATCCGCCAATGGTTCCGTTGCCATCGAAACGCACATAAAAAAATACAGATTTTACTTTAAAAACGTCAAAAACAAATGGTGTCAAATAAGAGCACTTTTTGCATGAGACTTTGATTTTAGTGATCAAATAGATTAAGAGCTTTGTCAACGAAATCAAAAGGTTTTATCAGAAAAAAAAACAGTCATTACTCTTTGTTTGATTCATACAAAATAGTACTGTAGATATGTGAATGAGAAAGCAGACAACTTACTGATAATGAGAATTGATTTTCCAAATGATTCGTCATCTCGTACGCGATGGGATCTCGATGGCCGTACGCTACCATCAGTAAAAGGAAAAGGAACAAAGTATATAACAACACATCCATCATAACCTGTGAAGATTTTAACTCCTTCATTCTCTTCAGCTTGGCTTTTTTCAGATCTTTTTCCTGCAGTGGTTGAGATTCGCCGCTGCATGTATTGTTTTCGTCGACCTGTCGGAGTAATGTTTGATACGATTGGAAAAAGATTATTTTTATTATCTACTAGGGTGTGAACTTTCTACAGGTAAAGCGGGCCTTTCCAGTAAGCCCTTGCCAGAGACCTTATGTGGCCTAAAAACCCTCCGGCATTAATCCTTTGCACTAAAATCGTCTTCCTTCTTGTCAATGAGGGAGGCAAAATCAATATGACAATTATTCTGCCTCGCTCTATTGCTAAGTCGTTAAATTTACGTAAATAAACACCAAGGATTGTATCATAACAAAGTCAACTGCAGCCTTTTTTTCCACTCATAGGCTAGGTCACAAAATGCAAAATTGTCCAATGGCCTGTTGAACTTTCTTACCGGGCTGGTAGAAAAGCTTGTTTCCTTCTCGTGTAGATCTTTTGTTTTATTGAGAAAGGGTCTTCTGCGCTTTTCTTTTTGCTTCATGGACCACTTAACGAAGAGTGCAACCATCGCTGATAACATGGCAACTTTGGCTGGTTGAGAGATAACGGCATCTTGAAAGAAAGAGACAAAGAACGAAAGAAGCCATTGCTCAGATTTTTCTTTCCCCCATTGCAGGGAGTACAGCAAGGTGAAAAACGCTGAAACGAATACTGAAACGAAACACAGCAGCCATGCCATGTAATATAATAAACGGTAGAGGCATGTCTTGGGGTTGGACTTGGGATTGCTTATCACCTCGTTTTTTATGTCTAGTATACTCTTAGTAGTTGTTAAACGTTCTTTTGGAGAATTACGTTCCGAGTTTTCAGATGATAAGATAGTCGACAGGCTTTCTGTTGAGGGGTCACTGTCCATTGTGCGATATTTTAGTGACGAATTTCTGCGTGTAAATCTTTCAATAAAGCCATTTGGTTTTGCTTTGGTCGGTGTGCGGTTCGGTTGTTTTTCCTCAGCCGCCGAGTCTGGCACAGCTTTACTCTCCCAAGAGGATGTTTTACGAAATAGCTGAGTCATGGCCAAGTTCACAGGAAATATGATCAAGCTGCTTTGGATACCGATTATAAGCTGCCGTACACTTATCTTCAGCGGACCTAGATAAAACACTGGAGACGTATCAGCACGCCCACCGTCGTAAAACATGGCGTTTGCGATCATCGTGCAAAAGAGAACAGACAGACAGCATGACAAGCGCTGCACTCGAGAGAAGCTACTTTGCGGTGGCTTTGCTGCAACTGAAAACCAAAGATGCTCATCACAGAGGCCATCGGCACTGTTCGACAAAAACAAATTCTTGTAATTAGTTATTTCGTCTATGCCCGCAACATACATCACTTTGTCCGTTCTCCCTTCTTCAGTTTCAACCGCCAGCCAGTCCCCGCACATGAAACTCCATTTCTCGTCGATCTTAGTATCTCTTATGACCACGTGATCAAGTTTCCAAGCGGGACTGTCGCCCGTATTATCATGCCATACATGGATGTAAAGCAGTTGCCCTAGCCAGTTTGGAAGGTGAAGGGTACAGTTAATCTCTGAACCCCTGTTGAATTTTACTTCCGTCAGCTTGCTCAATTGAAGTATACCACTGGATCCCTTTTCTCCAGTTATAATCATGGTTACGTTAGCCGTGGTGCCTGAATTCGTTGCTTTAGCAGTAGATATTTTGATTTCGTAAGAAAAAGGAGTCCACGACGTTCCCACGACAATCACGCCCTCCTATGATTCAAAGAAAAGGACAATGATATTACAATAAAATATACCAAACAGTTAGAACTGCTGGTTCATTCATTCCTGCAGTTCAAGACTTTGATGATTAACGACATTATAGGAATCGAAACAACATTTTGTATCTCCTTCCGTTCTTGCACCTAAAGAGCAGGCAATGTCTTCCACTGGTGTAACATTTAAAGTGTCCATCGTCCACTCATCTCCAGGGGAACAAGAAACGCTGAGGAGGCACTTTCAAATTGAAAACATTAGTTTTAGAATTGAAAGCTACAGGGTACTTCATACGACTTCCAGAACAGGAAACTTGGCAATCTATCGCTTAACCCTTTAAGTCCCAATAGTGACCAACAACAATTTTCTCCTAACAACATCCATACACTGTCAAGAGATAAAGTTATGAGAATTAATAAAATGATCATCATAGAGAAAATTCCATGATCTTTTATCAAATTCTCCCAACTAATTCTTGAAGGAGATGTATGGAGATCAGTTTGGAGAATCTGTATGTGGATACTGGGGCTTAAAGGGTTAAGGATGTCATGTGATTCTGATTAAATTCAGTGATAACTACCTGCGAATTACGATCCCGTAAATCAGCTCTCCGCGCCCAAACTATGACTATGAGATACAGCAGGAATAAAGCAATGATTGTAGCCAGTACAGCAATGTTGTTATGAATATCGGCAAACGCAACCCACACCGTACCGAAATCGATAGGGTTTGGTTTCACCAGCAAGCCTCCACCAAACGAAGTCAAATGCTTGCAACGACAGCTCAGGGTCCGTGACAAGGTTCGCTTCCGGCCGGTCTAGAATTAAACAAAGGATAATTGATTGCTTAAAAATACACACAAAAACGCCAGCCCAAACCAGGTAAAAAACTGGGCCAAATATGTTGGAAAATTGTGCTTCGCAACTAAAAAAGTTGGAGCACATCTTTTTTGAAAGATGTCTTTTGAGTTACAATGAGGATAAAAAATTTGGGTCCTTATTAACTAAAGGTTTGTTTACTTAATTTTTGTGATTACCCTGCATCCAGCACCCGAAAACTGATTAGATGTGGGATTCCAGAAATTGCAGCCAAGCCCTAACTGTTCCATGCTGTAATTGCTGTGTTTTGATTTATCATAGCCTTGGTTAACTGTAGCAAACTTTCCATTTGAAGGCAGAGTAGGAGGTGGGTCCTTGTACTGAATGCAGGAACGTTTGGATCTTCCTCCTCCGCCACAGTCCCTCTTTTTTCGACTCTGAGCCTCCGATGAATTTGCAGGTATTGCATCGAACTTGACACCAATGTGATATGTACCCAAACGCGTCAAATATGTGCTTGGTAGGAAGATGCTGTAAGGACTGTCGAGGCAGCTGCCTTCGTGGAGGTCATGAGACGACTCATTGGCAAATGAACAACTAGAATAGTTCGGTAATTTTGCTCTTAAATCCCAGTCATGGATGGTTGGTCTCATACCAAACTTTATAAAAACTGTCATTTCGACTTGATCTTCCAGAGGTTCTATCAAAAATTCAATTGCTTCGCCGACTTTTTGGACTTCAGTTGTGTGATATTGGATACTTGAATTATCACTTTGCTTGAAGAAAACATTCTGTGGTGACACAGACTGTTGATCATCCAAAGGGATCTGTATGACAATGTCCTTTGACAGGTTGGTAACATTCAAAACCTCACGGTCGCCTTCTACGTTTATGACCTTGATATCTACGATGGGTGTGGTCACTTCCTGGCTTGAAACATCATAGCTAAATGGGTTAGTCAATAAGACCCATACCTGCAAGAGAGAAAGGACATTCTAGTTGACAGTCAAGTTAACTTGGGGGTTTTTTGACGTTTCAGAGTTACCACGATAAGCGGTTATTCTGAAATAATTACTTTCTTAAAGATAACTTTTATCTTCTACTTACGAGCAAGTTCACGCACGGGCATGCAAAAGTTAGTTCTGGTTACATGAAATTGTCTGATTCTTTGACTATCTAGGTTAATCTTATCTCTCTCGCCCCTTTCTCCCTCCTCCGAGATTGGAGTCCATGGTGAACCACATTAGATTGCTCTAGAATCAGTCTGTTAAAAAGGCTTAAAGTGACTTTGTGGTTAAAGGGACTATGTCAAAAGGATTTTGCCGTTGAAGTCAATTCTGTGGTGACGTCATTTCTGTGTCTTTATTCATTCACAAAATGCTCCTGTAGATAAGAGTTATGGCCGAAGATATCAAAACTGAATTGTCATCGGGGACACTCACTATAATATTTTGGGGTGATTTTTGCAGGTATTGTGTTTTAACACAATTTTTTTAAATGTTAAAAAAATTGAAAAATTCGGCTCTATTTTTTTCAAGTTTCAATCCAAGTTCATCCTTGCAATCCGTAGCTGAACAGATGATGGGAAACAGTTTCAGTGCCTAAATATAGTCTTAAATAATAATAAACCATAATAATTTTAGAATTGAACTGATAAGAAGACACGTTTTAAAGCTTTCAAAAAGATAGAAAACAGCGTGACCTAGCCTCTTTAAGATCAACTGCATGACAGCAGTCTCAGTCAGGTTTCTGTAACATTAAGCAACCACGATCGATTGTGACGGTTTATTTATACCTGTATAACCTTCTCTCCATCACCAAATGAATTCTCATTTTCTGGAAACTGGACGCTGGCGTCCCCCGCCACAATTGGATCGGAGAAAGCTTTTTGGCCGCTGGCTCTTCTGCAAGACAATCTGGCAGACTTGGTAATGATTTCTACATCTGCTTGATCTGGGAGTAGCTTGTTAGATACAGCTTCAGCGACCTTATCCAAAAGCTCCACATTTCTTTTAGAAACTTGTATACTCTGTGGCAAGGAAAAGAGTGGATCGAAAATTTAGCTCCTGTTTTCTAAAAAATGGCTTTGTTCCCTTTGATGAAAGGACACTCTTTAATCGTGAGTCTAATTAATTTAGTAGAGGCCACCTTTGCCAAAAGATGCTGAAACAGAATGGTATTATGTAAGCCATGTAAAGTCAAAGTCCTTAAATAATTTATAAATCTTAGCTGTTGCGACGTTGATCCACTAAACGTCAATTTGAGTCCACGAAAAACATCACGAAAAATCTGGAGTGTAGACGTTTTTCCAGTGTCCTCCTATAAGGTCAAAAAAATTAACTCTGCCCTCGGTTCAATTTAATGTGAGCAATCTTGGCTTTCAAAAAGCTAACCTTATTTCTGTCGGCTTCTTGAGTTAAGTCATTCCTGCTGAAGTTCGCGTTGTAGGATGCTGAATCCATGATATTGGATATTGCAGTGATAGAGTTGACTACTCCTTCTTTTAAGTCAGTCCAAGAAATGTCCTCCTTCGATTTGCCCAAAAGAAAATCAGCCATGTTTTCAAGCTTATCAGTGGCAATTTCCTGTTACATTGAATAGAAGGGGGTAAAACAGTTTGGCAAATACAGCGCCCTCAAGCTGCTATGACATGCAATGAGCCTAGGAATTAATGATACTAGTGAAGATTAATTTATGGAAAGAAAATGAGCATTGAGGTCTGTTATACTTGGAAGTAGTCTTTGCGCTTTTAGCTGCTTTTTTATTTTATTACAATCAGTGTTTAGTCAGCCACGCAGATTTATTGCAAAATTCCATCGCTTGTTCCACAGGTTCAATTTTAAGAATAAAAATAATAAACAATAATTTATATAGCGCCTTTTCTACAGGCATTCAAATGCGCTATACAAACCACTCAAAATCTAAAAAGTGAAAACAATCCACAGTCACTGAAATAAATAAATATTCAATTAAAAGCTTTCTTAAAAAGATAGGTCTTAAGTCTTTTCTTAAAAATGTGAACAGAAGAACTTGATTTTATGTAAAAAGGCAGCGAATTCCAAAGACTTGGTGCTCAAACCGAAAAGGATCTAAGTTCTAAGATTAAATGACAGCGAATTTAGCAACAGCTTCGAAGCAGATCGCAAACTACGCAATGGAGAGTAAGGCTCTAGGAGATCACTTAAGTACTGACGAGCCAAGCCTTGCATCGCCTTATACGTAAAAGACAGCTCTTTAAATTCTATACGCTGCTCAATAGGCAGCCATTGTAACTAAAAAAGCAGGGGCGTAACGTGATCTGATTTTCTTGACATGGTGACAAGCCTAGCTGCAGAATTCAAAACATATATATTGCAGACGCTGTAATAAGTTCTTGGAGAGACCATAAAGCAAAGAATTACAATTATCAAGCTTGAGGTAACAAATGCGTGGACAACGATCTACGCTGTCTTGAGACTTAAAACTTTCTGATGCGCGAAATGTTCCTAATAGAATAAAATGAGGATTTGCAAATTTGCGTAACGTGTTGGTTAAGCGAAAGCGTTGAGTCGAGAACAATTCCAATATTCTTTGAAGAAGCGGAAGAGGTGACAGATGTTCTGGCTGCTTGAACTTGATCAAAGAAGGAAGCAGGACGGTGCTTAGCATGGAAAATCAGCATCTCCGTCTTATCGCCATTAAGTTTAAGTTTATTACATAACACAACACAGGCTTCCAACGTATAGCGTGCCCTGGAAAGATCACCCGAAATAGACGACTTAAATGATACATAAAGCTGAGTGTCATCAGCATAAAAGTGAAAAGACACGTTGTGATGCCTCATCATGTCACCCAATGGGTCGACGTAAAGCAGGTATAATATCGGACCCAAAACAGATCCCTGGGGAACGCCGCAATTCAATGGCAGACCAAATGAGCGAGCACTGCAGATAGCAACGAACTGCATTCGCCCACTAAGATATGACTTGAACCAGTCACGAGCCTTTCCATCTATGCCAAATCGGTCGGTGAGGCTAGCAAGCGAAATGCGATGATCAACCGTATCAAACGCTGCTGAGAGGTCGAGGAGCAGTAATATCAGACACTGATCATTGTCAATGACTTGCAAAATATCATCTTGAACCTTTAAAAGTGCTGATTCAGTACTGTGACTAGGTTTATAAGCGGACTGGAACTGTTCCATCGGGGAATTATCAGTAAGATAATTGGTCAGTTGAACAGCTACTACCCTTCCACATAATTTAGATGAACATAAGATTTGAAACTGGACGATAATTCGGAAATTGTTCTGGGTCTAAGCTCGGAGACTTAAGTAGGGGCTTCACGACGGTTTCTTTCAAGACATGTGGGAAAAGAGCTTGGTCGAGTGACAAATTAACAATTTTTAGTGATAATTTGGTATCAAAATGTCAACAGTTGCTTTTAAAGCTGAGGCAGGAAGAGTCGAGATCACATCGTCGAGAAAATAATGCTTGAAAGCACATCAGATGAAACGGGTTGATTACTCAGGTCTGAGCAAGAGACTTTAGAGATGTTGTGAGTGGACAAATCCTAGTCATTTAATTGGCTCATCCCAGAATCAACACCAGGCCTGATTTTGGAGATCTTCTCTGTAAAATGATCAATTTTTCACCGAGTACCTGCGAGTTGTCACAATAGGGAAGCTATCTTTATCTCGCCCGATAAATGTAAAAACTTGTCAACTGTAGCAAACAATTTTTTAGGGTCTGACTGATGATCAGCGACCAGATGAGAAAAATGTTCCATCTTCGACTGGTGAATTAAATCATTCACAGTTGTGCAGTGATTAACATATGCATGGCGATCAACAGTCAAACGAGAGGTACGCCAGCGCCTCTCCAACTTTCTGCGTTTGCGCTTTTCCACATTGATCTCAGCTTTAAACCAAGGAGCAGCCGGACATAATCAGAGTTCTGCATTTCAAGGTTAAAATACAAAGTTAATGGACAAAAAATGGAAAGAGAAAGTTCAAAAGAATTCTCAGTTTTCTTTCTGTGGAGGAAGGGAAGCTTTTCATCAAGAAATCGTCCTTTGAGGAATTCAACCTTGTTTTCTTCACGACGGAACGCATGGTCTGTTTCGAAATGCAACCAAAGCAGCGAAGTTTTTGCTGAATTTTCAGGTACATTTTGCACTCTGTGAGCAAGAAAATGACGTTTTTAAAAGGCAATTTATGTATTTATAAATAATTCGTAGACGTTTTATACATTTTTTGTTCGGCGCTAAAGAAAAATTACAAAATGCGCCCCGATTTGAGATGGATTTTGTGTTGGATTTTGCCATGTGCTCAGCCGATGCGGATTCACGTTCCAGATAGTGTTACGCGAATTGCTTTAAAGGATTAACTTTTTGGATTTTAAATAAAAATTTTTAAGAAACGGCTTCTCTATTGTTTTTTCAGTTTGTTCATTCATAAAATTAGTTCAAAACACAATCGTGATACTACAGCATCCAAGCTTAATTCTCACATTACACGCATCACTTTTGCGAAGATGTCGGCGAATTCTATACAATTTTTACTTTCGGGCTCAGTTTTTGGACAATTTTCGATACGCAGCGAAAGAATTTTAATTGAAAATAATATGTTTTACTGGTTATTCTACACTTTCAATATGAGAATTTTAAACGGCTATTTGCAGTGTAAGTTTACTGCGCAGAGGGTCACCGACGTATCATTTTTTGAAGTGACAGTTTCAAGAAGTCGCGCGGTCGTCAGTGGGTTTCATTATGTTAGGTTTGGCCGGGTGTTAAACCAATTTCCTACTCAGTATTCCCTGGTTTCACCCTTTGAAAGCTTACTCGGCTTTCGGGAGTTTTTCCCCCGTTTGTCGGCCATTTTTTTAAGCGGGCGCGGGAACTCTGAAGTAAAATTACGTGACGTCGTTTACGAAGTACGATTGGTCAGTTACATCTGATGGGCTCCTGTCAGTTATTTTCTTTTCTTCTCGTTCCAAATATGGTACTTTCGAAAATGAATAATCAGGAGCATCGGACAAAGCAAAAATGATAGTTACACCTTTCAACCCTTATGAGTTTCTGATATTATACCACGCACACCTATTCTCATTGCAGCGTCGACAGCAAATAATAGGAGTAGTTATCGAAGGTAGTAAATGGTAACGGCGCATGCTCTGTCCGTTGACATCATAAGCACAGGCGTTAGAGGCCTTCTTGATAGTGGTGAATGACGACAGTAACGTTAACCAATTGCAAGGTGGTCTTCATATTGTAACACACCAACAACATTAATAATAAAGTGTAATAACGCCGTGGAATAAGGAAAACGTGTAGTTTTTAAGCCGCCACAAACGAATCCAGGTGGTAATTGTTTTGTTTTGCCAATTAAAAACAGCAGGACCATTCGATATGATGCCATATTGAACTAAAACTTCAAACTTGCCACCTCTACCCATTTTCTACTCAAAGTTAATAATGGTATTGGGACTGAGTGGGGTCCAATTCGTACAGGTAACAGCATGATTTGCAGTGATATTTGGCATAAATTCCACTAGCGATATTTCGAAATTGTTGTACGTAATTTGAGATAATTTTGAAATATCATGAGTGGAATTTATGCCAAATATCACGTACAAATCATGCTGTTATTTGTTTATACAGTTACCCACAAAAGGTTTGTAATTTTCACACCTAGGTATTTCAAACTGAGCTAAAATACCACTGCTCTAAGCCAATTAAATTGCAGAAATTTGTAATGTAGTAGTATAAGGTCTGTAATCGTACTAGTAATAAACGCGGGAGTTTGATTTCTTTAATCACGAGTATGATTACAGACTGAATTGGACGACATGAAGTTCTGTTACCAATTAATCATAGTTATAACAAAATTTGTGATATTGTAGGCTTTTTTCTAATTAAAACACGAGAAATTCCGAGAGTTGTTTTGCTAGCAGTGAAAAAGATCCATTTAAGCCCACGCATACGACCGCGTGGACTGTCCAATTACAGGCATGACGCGTACTTTCCTATTACACTGTCCTATTAGTGCTGAAATCAGGACAGTTGATAGCCAATCACATTTGAGAATTTTGTTATAGTTATGATTAAAGGTGATATTTACCTGTGCAGTTGAGTTAACTTGCTGCTTGACCTCTCCGGCTGCGGCTATCATTGTTGCCACTTGATTGAAGTCCGACAAAGTTGAGATCGGAATTTTAGAGACCTTATCGATGACAGTGTAACGTACCTAAAAGGAAAAACGTGGCATGAGATGAGAGGACAACGAAGGGGTCCTACATTCGATATTAGGAAGCGTAAGCAAGTACAAGGGCAAAAACAACGGCAACGCGAACGTCTAAAGCCAGAGGTTTTAAAAGCAAACACAACTCTGCTTGTGCACCATACTTTTTGGTCCATTTTTTGCCATCACTGCACGGCTACGAAGCAGGTCGCCGTTGAGCTCCTTGTTAGATATAATAATCTTTCCAGCTTTCGTTTAGGGTAACACGTAGGTGCTCTGTGTAGCAGCCATCAAGCTGTTATTTTAATGCAATTATCAATGTCAAACTCTCTGAACTGTACAATAGAACAGATTCAAATGAAGCTTTAAAGAAACGTATGTTCAGATCTCTGCTGAGGTTGGATTTCCACACCACTGTTAGCTTGTTGAGCGGTCCATGCTTTTGCTTTACGGATCTCAAGGTCTTTCAATTCTTCGTTGGATCTAATCAAGCGCCTAGGTACGGGAAGTCGTCCACCTGTTTCATTTTTGAATTGTCTAGGGTAGCAAGGTCGCCCTGTTGTCGTAGAGTACATGCCATGTATTCGGTCTTGATGCTGTTTATATAAAGACCAACCTCTGTAGCAGCAGGTTCATCTCGCTCTAACAGTAATTGGGATTTATCTAAGTTGTCTGAAATCAATGCAATGTCATCAGCTAAATCTGTGTCAGTCATTGTGAATCCAAGTTCTTCATAGTCTTCAATTGCGGATCTCATTGCATAGACTAAAGTTATGATGAACAGGAACGGAGCCCACGTGTCGTCCTGTAGCAGTCCGGCCCATATAGTAAAGAAATAAGTTCCCCCCTCAGGTAAAGGAACTTTTGCCTCAGTGTTATTGCATGTACATCGACGCCATAGCCGAGACAGTTTGATCTACAATGCCGCAAGCCTTCATAATGTCGAAGAGTTTTTCTGTTCACCGAACACTGGCTGGTCCAACGGTGTGGAAAAAGGAACCTTCCATTTCACTTCAGCTGTCTCCCCTTTAAGACGCCCAGAACTTACGAGTTCCTTCCCGTTATCTCATTGGCGGTGTCCCAGGCTCTTTTTGCCTGATGCTAAGCGGCAGAGTTTTCAATCTCGGCGAATTTCTTCCACCAGATATTCCGCTTGACCTTGGCCATATGCAGTTTGAAGTTCCTCCTTCGCTTGTTTTTAGCCTGCAAGCAGGCTCACCCGGGCAAATTAGGAGGAAATACGCAAAAGTGCGCCTACTCGCAGGCTAGTTGTTTTAGATGGTACGAATTGTCATAGTTGGCGATGTGCTTATTTTTCAAATAGGCTTTCTTCAATACGCTCCTTTTCTCCTTGACAAGTTCTTCCTTTCAGGGCACTAGTTTTTTCACTCTTTTACGCTTACGCGTGCACTTCTCAGCTGCATCTATGTGGGCGTTGATCATTAATAGTATAATATCAAAGGACTGTATCTAAACATACCAGTAATCATTTTCTTGTGTTGACGTCCTTCATAAAATGTGAAATTAGAACGTTAGCAAACGCTTTACGTCGTAGACGTCCAACAACGGCAAAGTAATGAACAAAAAAGCCTGACGTGCGCGCAGAGTTATGGTTCAATGTCATTGTTCTTAAGAACCCTACTAACGAAGGAGCGCGACCTTGAAACTTCAAGCAAGCAAGACCTCAAAAACTCTTAAGACTACTTATTCTTTCCAGCTGCGATAATTGATTATCGAAAGCGCGCAAACTCTGCTTGAAAACACGTTAACGTGCTCAGTTTTGTACTTTGTAGTCGAATCTTTAGGTTCCAGTGCTGTCAATACTACCGAGTTGTTAAAGGACTGTGGTCCAGTACTGACAGTGATTTAAGTTCAAGAGATGGGCTGTACAACCATTTAAATACTTAGAGCTACTTTCCTGTTGGAGCAAAAAATTTTAGTCGTTTGAACATGACATGTAAATCCCCTTATAGATGTTTCTGCACCGCAGATTTCACAAATACAAGCACAATGTGTTTAGGGGAAAAAATTGGTACATACTCTGGAAACTAAGAGTGTACTTAAGCACTTTCTCAGCATCAATTTTAGTATACTTACCAGACTTTGAAATTCACTCTCTTGGTCTGTCAGGTTACCTCCATATTGCTCTACTTTCTGGTGGAGGCTAGAGAGCACGCCGCTGACCAATTCGGAAACTGCATTAATGTCTCCAATGTTAAGAAGGAAATCAATTTTGCTATTATCGTTTAAAAACAGACCCTCAAGTTCAGACTGGGTGAGGTTACGAGGAAGAACCTACAATAGAGTTAAGATAAATGTTTGATGCGTATCGTAGATTATCGTACAAGACGATCGAGTGTAAAACGTCTTTTGCGTTTCCCCTCTCACGGATCTGTTTTCAACATTAATGTTTTAAAAGACAAAAAGGCTCTATTTGGTACACTGAATGCAACCCTAAAACCTCTAAAAACTAAAAATATGACTTTGCATGGACTGTCCTTTGTTCTTAGATGAAAAATAAATATACAAAGCACAAATAAGCCTGGGATGGAAACTGATCCTTGTAATCATACCAAGAAGGGATACCCTTTGAAGGAAAAACAGAATACCTTGATTTGTGTCTGATTTTCTGTCCGCGCTCCAAGCGAATCTATCACACTGAAAAATACTTGTAAGTGGAAGTTCTCCTTTTGTTCTCCTGGAGCAAGTCTCACTGAAAACTCCTCTTCTTCGGCTCGGAAGATGATTGGCCTCAGAAGCGTAAATGGGTCATGATAAGCGAATACGTAGTGAAGAGGCTGATGATCAGCCTTCCAGCCAGCACATCTAAAGGTAAACGTGGTATCGTAAGCTGTTCCTTCTGAGGGAAGAACAGAACAGTTTCCACCCCATGGTGGTCTACTAGTTGTAAAGCTGTACTCTGATAGTCCTTCAAAATCATCTGATCCATGCCTCATTTGTATGACATACGTCATTTCTGGCTTTAAGGCGTTAACCTTTACCACCAGACTTCTTGCGGATTTGTTCGATAATGTCAAGGCCTCAAGGTCGCCTACTTTATTCCAGTTCAAATTGTCCGTTATGTTAGCTTTTCTGTAGAACAGTTGCCAAGAATACGATTCAGATGTTGTATTCTTACAAGGGCCAGAAATGCAGTGACTGCTCACTGACAGGACATCACTTGTGATGGCCAAATATTTACAGTTAATTTCGCACCTGTAATACAAAAAGAATATAACCCACAACCTGTAGCCTGTGTACAGCCGCCCCCTCCCTCAAAAAAAATCGGGGAGAGAGACGTCTGTGTCGTGCCCCTTGTTCTGGTTTCCCTGAAATGTCGGGGAAAGCCTCTGATTGGCCGTTATGTTAATGCTGTGACGTAAGAAATTTCCGGTGTTGTGATTGGATGAAAGAGTCTTTCCTGAGGAAAACCTGGGCGTTTGCAGACATTTTACCGAAACACTTCATGCTCACTCGTTTTGCGGCTTTCTGGAAATAAGCATGTGAAGTGAAATCACTGATGTTTGCAGCACCGATTGCGGATGCATGTGTTCTCATTCACGTTATAGCCGAGTTATATGAAGGCTGAGAATAACTAGGCAAGTGCTGCACAAGAACACCTCTTAAACCTGTCAGAGGAAAAACAAAAATAATTTCTGCAAATCATTCAAGAACACAATTTACGGCAGCGTGACACGGGCGTCTCTCTGCCCACTTTCGTTTGAGGTGAGGGGCGGCTGAACACAAGCCAACAACAGGTTCTAGACAATAATTTAATCGGTTTATTCTTTGACAAGCTTTATCTGTGTGGTATTTGGAACCATTTGCTAGTTTTAATGTCAAAGCAAAAGTAATAGTGTTTTTATCTTAAGCTAAAGTAGTCAGCTAGCCAGTCTCAATGAAGAACGTTTTATAGCAATTTTTACAAACAGGCTGTATATTTTACCATGACTGCCGTAAGTATTCTTTAGCTTTTTAATTAATGTGTTTCATTCATTTCTTAGTAAATTCTGGTAAGTATTTACCCTGTAACATAATAAAGATTTAAAGATGTGGGATTTAAAGACAACGCTTTTGAAATTCAGCGCATTTAATTCCACTTTGAACAGTGCTACTTGCAAGAAAATTGCGTTGGAAAATTACATCCCGTAGCTTTTTGTACGGACGACTCATTACGACTCTAAAAAATATGTCAACAGATTAAGTTGATATTTCTCCCGTTTCAATTTGATGCACCGCAACTGCAGATGCTACAGCGAACGTGTTGCATCTCCCGATGCTGAAAAATTAATAATTCGTATCTATTACCTTATATGGAAATGGGAAATCTGCCCGTGGGAAATCTGAACAACGGTTCCTTTCCTCGCTTCTCTGTTTCCTGTTTTTAAAACTAGCATGACCAAATAAACTCCATTTTGTAACATATTTTGCCGTGGAAGATCGATAAAAGATCCATTCATCGTTAAATTTCCGTCTTCACTGAAGCAGCCATTGGGTAAAGTATTTTCTTGTTTAAGGACACTCTGCAGAGTTGACAAAGGATATTCCGTGTCATTAAATTCCAGCCACCGGTCACTCATATTATAGCAGTACCAGCTGAATTCTAAACCACTCTGATCGGTTGTGTCAGGATCCTTTGAACCAGTTGCGTTGATAGTTATTGGCTGGGAAAACATTCTCATGTTGGCGGATCCTTCTTGCATATCTATAATGAGGTCGGAAGTAACGATTTTTAAGTAGCCTTCAGCTGCTCCAAAAAGTCCGTACGCGTTAGTCAACAAAAATTTTAGCTTAATGCAGTACGTGCCGTAATCTAACACATTGGGTTGTATTATCAGGCTCGATGTTTTTGTTTCATTTCTTGCGTGAAGTACAAGTCCTTTATCAGTTTCGTTTCTGAAGATTTCCCACTGAAGAACTGCTCCGGTTGCCCCCTCACAGTCTATTTCGTATCGAGAACGAATGATAAATTGAACAGAGCGGAAAATCCCGGTTGCTTGAAGTGGATTGTCTGCAATATTAGGCAGGGATACTTTTGGCGTGCTGCAAGGAAGTTCTGTTATTCGCACAGTAGTGTGCACGGAAGCATTCTCGATGCCACTCTGGCCAATCCATGAAATGTTATAAGTTCCAGCAACAGTGTAAGTATAATTGTAGTAGACCAAAGGATACACAAACGAAGAAATTTGTTCGAAACCGGTTGTATTGGCTAAGCTGCAGTTCGATGATCCAAACAACACCCCATCATCATTTCCAAGATCCAAAACAAAGCAAGACGAAACCCTTGTCTCACTTGCTCTTAGGGTTAACGTCAATACATTATTCGCCGTGACTGGGCCATTATGACTTATATCAATCTCCAAACTCTGCCGAGATTTCTTGGTTATAAACTCGACGCTGTTTTCACTTATTTTGTTGTTACAGGCAAACCTGACAGTGTACTCACCATATGACGTGTAGTTATGTACAACTGAGGAAGAAAGATTAACATATGTAAAATATTTATCGTCATCTCCCCCGTCACCCATACTCAATAAGCAACCAAATGCCGTTCCTTTGGCTAAGCCAAGATTACATACAGTCAAGTCGGATAACCTCACGGTCTTGTTACAGTCTAGATAAGCGCCTTGTACGGGCACAAGTTCCTCAACGATGATTTCACGACGAAGGCTTATGCTACTAACATTGTTATATGCTGTTATATTAATGTGAAAAGTTCCGTGTGAGGTGTAAGAGTAGACGAGACTTTTGTTTGATGAAGTGATGATGGTGCCATCAGCCATGTCAAGCCAAAATTTAGGATGGGTTCCATTAGTAACATTCAGCTGAAACAAGACTAGATCTTTTTGGAAACAAGATGGATACTGACTCAGACACTCAAAAGTTACGTTGAACCCATCGATAGCAATTTCACTTATGACTAAGGCGGAGGTGTTGGCTCGGCTGACGGCATTTGCAGCATAAAACTTTGCAGTACAAGTTCCAACTGCGTGAAAGGCACTCGTTAGATAGTTGGTTAACTGATCCGGGCCGTGGAGCGAGGTAATCAAAAATGGAAGTCCACATTCATCAAATGAAGTGTTTACTGAAACATTTGACCCGCCAGTTATAGAAAGAAGAAAGCGTGCATCATTTCCTAATGGAAACTTGAAAACATCGCTATCCACCATAAAATTCTTTATTGGGTCCTGAACTGTAATCCAACAAACTGAAGATAAGATGTTCACTTTGTTCACGACTATGACATTAACAGCAAACACACCAGCCTGAGAATATGAATGATTCGCCTTGAACCTGGTCGAAGTTACAGCTGAGCCATCTCCAAACTTGATTGTGACGTTGGGTGGACTAAGTGAGACAACATCAAGCGATACATTGACTTGAAACGATGTGTTCGTTGCGACAACGGAAGGCACAGTAAAATTTAGTCCCGAGAGCAGTGCTTGAACGTAAACCATTTTTGAGATGGTCTGGTTACTGAAGAAATTAAACACGAAAAGCCTTACTTCATAATCGCCTTCTGCGGAGTAATTGTGCTTGTTGCTTTGGAAAAATGGTGTCGTTGCATTTGCCAAGATATATCGAGAAAGAGTTTCATTGCCGCTGTTATCTCCCCAGTCTATAACTGCAGTCGCGTTCGTACCAAACTTTAATTCCCAGTCAATGGTCAGGATTTGCCCCAACACGACGAAAGAGTTGTTTATCATCATTGATAGCTCTTGAACTAATAAAAGAGGATATTTTTTAAGTCAATAAATGACTAGTGTGAGACCAAGCGATGGCTTTCCCTACCATTTCTATCCTCATCTGGTATTTCTTAAAACGACAATAACCTCACATCAAGTCAATACTAGTCTATATCCTTATTGGGCTATACTAATCATAGTCACCAATTTAAACAAATCTTTGGTCCTTTGAAATCACAATTTCATAACTTGAAGTACTTAACACACTTGCCTGCCTGAATTGCACTTTGACGACGGACCGAAGTTAAACTTTTTGACGGTTCAACAAGTAGAAACAAACGTTTGAACTTCCAGGAAAGACATAAAAATTATCATAAAAAATCCATCACTGGAAGAGTGATGCACTATTTACAATTTCCTCTAGTTTCCAGATCGCAGTTGTTCAAAAGCAGTGGATAAATATTAGGGGAGCCAATTGAGCTACCCAGAGGATAGAGATTTATCCGGTGGATAGTGCTATCCACCTTTTGAACAACTGGAGCCAGACGCTCTGAAAAAACAAAGAAAACTTTTCGAAATAATCTTGCAGTCCTTTCTCCCCCTACCCTACACAATGTTGAAACTCGGAAATAATTCTGGATACATGCGTCTAACGCTTTATGTTGTTTGTCCATGATTGTAGGTCGCAAAAAAGAACGCCTAACCCAGAGAGGTTTACAGGCAAGACACACACTGAAAAATTCTAAATATCAGTACCATCATATCATCAAGTACTAGGATCATTAACTGTTCGTTTGTTAAATGTATTGTTTAATGACGAAAGAAACCAACCTGGGCATGGGAAGTAACAGGCAGCAATTTGTTGAATCAATGGACAGTGAGCTCCGCTGGTTTTCGAAACGGGACTTAGACACGTTTTGACACGTCTTTTAATTGGTGCATGGCCACATCCTGAACAGTTGCTCCAGGCCGACCACTCAGTATCCAGACCTCCGTTTGCTGTAGAGGGAAAGTATAATGACAAATTTGAATCCAAAACATGCCTAGTTCGATACTAGGACGAAGTCCCCTGTGTGGTGGTCTATCTCAAATTCAACCTCATAGGGGGCATGATTACTCATAACTTCAATACCTGTAAACTGCACCATAAACAGCCTGGCAAAAGTTCCCAGCCAGTGGACAGACGGTGGATATAGTTTTGGCTACTTTGGAAATTTTTGGCCAAAACAAAACTGCATGATGGAAGGGGTCTATTTAGCAGTAACGTTTTCAAAATAAATGTGATCTTACCTAAAATTTGGTGTGTTCAGGGGCGAAAAAGCCCCTGCCTGGGTGTGTTACTTATAATGTCACATTTTTAGAGTTCTCCGAGTACGCATTTTCTTCCATATCCTAAGCAAACCTCAGGCTACGTAGACTACACTAATCTTACCTGTCTGGCAGCTGTAATACATAACAAAGCGCATCCAGAACAGGTCAGGACAAGGATCCCCAAGAACTGACCTCGTATATCGCACATAACAATAGTCTTCGCCGTCGCATCTGCTTTGAATAGCGTGCATAGATTCTGGCTGAGTTTCACAATCGGATTTACTCCAGGAGACGAAGTGCGTGACAATGACCATGTTGTCATAGCAACGAAGATTACGAGGTGTCAATCCATATCCTTCCGTCACCTCCATTTTATAAACTTAGGATTAAAAGAAAGATAATAGATAATGATTATCATTTTAAAATTGTTTATTTTTCATTTACTCGGCTTGAATTGAACAATGATCATGTTTAACTTATTAGCGCATGCAAAATACCCTGTCAACAATAACACGAATTGAGAATATGTAGGCATAAAAATCTGAAAAACTACGATAAAAAGCCTTGATCGAGGGCATTTGGCTAACTAGCTAACATCAAATTTTAAACACAAGACGACACATACATAAGCTGCGCAAAATTTTCATGTTGATCACTTCTTGGTTTCCATCATGCTCTTGAAAATACCTTACACAGTAAGTTCGCTCTGAATGGCCGAGAAGTGGGTTTCCATGAGAATTGTAAACAGGTCAACATAATTTGCTGTACACCCTCTAATCTCACAACCACAAAAAGAAATGTACAAACTTGCTGCAATAAAGTTTTTTCGTTTAACTTGACTTTTTCAAGAAAGCATATTTTTCTGCAAAACAAGAACTGATTACGCATACAAAATTTTGAAAGTTTTGTAAACGCGAGACGAAATTTCTTGAATTCTCCCGGCACCCACTCGTGTTTATATCAGGCTATGCAAACACAGAAAACTTTTTCTATTTGGCTTAGATATTAATATGCATTAACGAAGTTGATTCTCTATCAATCAACTTTTCTACTCACTTGATTGGCATTTGTAGGTGACGTTTAGAAATTTCTCGATGCCCGGACACGAATCGTTAAACGCTTCTTCAGAAGCTTCAAGAAGGCACGTGTTTCTTCCTTGGCAACGTTTCATCACTTCTACCTTGCTCTGGTTTTTTGATAGGCAACTAACATTTCCGTAGATGACCGACCGTATCTCAATCACAGTATGGAAGCCGTTGTACTTGGGACAGTCTATTGTACTGTTTTCTCCATCTCTCAAAGTCAAGTTATGCTCTAAAAGTCATTGGAAACATTTCTATAAATTAGTATCCGTGGAACGTACAGGCAGCCGCTTCACGCACATGGAATTTACTATATATGTCCGATTGTTTGGCATGGTACAGTATATTACTGCATGGGTAAAATGGCATTGTATGGCGTCTTATGGTTAAGCATAAGTATGGTGTAGTGTGGCATGGTATGGTATGGTAGTGTTATGGCATGGTATGGCATGGTATGGCATGGCATGACATGGCGTGGTATTATGTGATATGTTATGTTATAGTATTCGGGTGTAAAAAGGCTTAGCTTAGTATGATCTGGAATTATATAAAATGACATGTCTGGCAGGGTATAGAATGAAGCCACATGCTATAGCGCCCAGAAATTAATAATAGGGTATAATATGGAATAAGGTGTTACGATATGCAGTGCAATACACACGAGCAAGAATAGCTAAAACGTTTCTAAATACACATGGTTTAGACAGTCAATGAACATTTTAACCGTGAACTACCATTTCAGACCACTTTCCTTGCAGCCAAAAAAGCACAAATGTTGCGAGAAAAGTTTGCAGCTTCACGAGGTATAAAAATCCTTTTTCAGGCTGAGGGTACGAAGACGTTACAATATAACCCGGCAATGGAACATTTCCTTAAGAAATACTAAACGCAGAAAAAAACCCACCTGCACAGGGAATGTAGCATTCCTCTTCTTGCCTTTTATCGCTGGACCAGCAAGCGTCTGGAGTATCGTAGGTAATTCCAGGGGAGATGCAATCGCGCCAGCGCCTTCTACGGGAAGTAAGGCCACAAGCTTCGCATTCACTCCACTCGCCCCAAGCAGTGTAAATTGACTCCCCTTAGGAAACAAAGGGAATCAAAAGCAGGGTAGTTGTTAAATAATAACATAACGGATAATGCTCTAATGGACAATTTAATCCGAAGCTATTTATATAACTATATATATCTGACTGGATTTGAGCCAAGCCCAACAACCAAAAACTCAACCTTCCCACCTAAGACGCTCATCACTGGCTATCCCACAGAGAAAATTCATTGACTTTGCATTGCCTTGTAACTTAAAACTCTAATCAAAGTGTCAAAAGCCCCTTCTCCCAACCTCCTTTCTTTTGACACGGAGCTGCCAGCCGCACACCAACTGTTAAGTCTGTCCAACTTCTGGCTGTGCCAACCCCTAGTGTCAAACTTTCATGGGTTGCCAAAGAGGGAAGGGAGGGCACATATCACAGAGCCTCTGCTAGCCGTCCGTGCCATTCCAAATACAACCCTTTTTACACTGAATGCAGACTTTTCCTTCAAGGTTAGCCCTCTGCCAAATAAAAATCTAGATGCGCCCAAGAGAGTCATGGAAAATTAATCAACCGGGGTGGCTGATGAGAGAACAAACTGAAAAACGGCCAAGAGAAACAAGCTGGGGCTGAAACAGTACATACTGAGTCTTAACAACCTTGCCTTCTTGTTTGATAACTAGGTAAGGTATAAAGTTAAAGCTCAACTGATGTATAAACGGGCCAGTACTCACTTCCCTGACAACTCTGCGATAACGTGAGATAATTGCTACTATATTTGCACTCTTTCTTCCCTAGAGTACTATAAGACACTGGAGATATGGTACAAGTGGTTCCAGAGCAAAATCCATCTAGTTCGTAGAGACTAACATCAGAAGTGCAGGTTATATTATTAGTTGTTGGGCAGAATTCTGAGGGATTCATACGACCATAGAAGGCGCGCTCATGGAGCACCAGTTGTTGATCGGAAGGACAGCTCATAAGGGCTATGTCATCATCGCAGAATGTTCTTGTAAAAACTGCAAAAAAGAAAAATGGCCATTTTCAACTGGGTTTCTTGTAAGGTACATGACGAAGAGAAAGCTTGAAAGGGATGGCATACGACGGGAAACTGTCAACAGGCTGGAACGTCTTAGAGAAAACTGCGGGGAAGATGACCTGCAAAGGTTTATGCGTCGAGGTGAGAGATGATTTCGCCAGTCTTGTATGGTGCTTTTCGAGTTCTGACTACCTGTGAGAAATACCTTTAATTTCTAGGCTTAAAAGTAAAATCCGCAAAAAAAAAGCAAAATAAAAACACAGCTCCCCAACGGTAAGCAAATCCCGGGGATCAATAGTAACTAATAATGCAAAATATAGAGCCAAGTGCTTACTTGGGCTACAGGAATATTGAATTTTCAAAACCTTCTTCACTCCAGGGCATGGATCGCGAAACGTATCATTGGAGACCATTACAGTGCAATCTCCTCTCATCTGGCATCTTTCATAAACCTGGGCACTGTTATGACCTGCCATGTCATTCGAAGGTATACAAGATCCATTGAGAGGGCTGTCAATACTGCAGTTGTTATAAATGTCTTGATCTCGACCATAAAATATGCTATTGATATTTATGAATGTCTCATTTGGGCAAGACAAATTGGCCTTCATCAACTCGCAGGTTGTTGAATTGCGCTCTAAAAAGAAAAAGAAAACAAGGCGCTGTCACAGTATTCACTTGGGCCTCAAAAGATGGTATGTCAGTTATTGACAATGTATTGGTTAATATGGTAGTGAAAAATATACCAGTTAAAGAATGTTATCACCCAAGTTACATAACAGTATTCATGAGATAAGCCACAGAAAATTGTTACCAATTTGTAGATATACCCAGAGGGTTACTCGACCAATATTTGGGTATAGGTGAGCCGCTGAAGGTTTAAAACTCGGGCCTTGTTTAGGAAAAAAAATCCTAAAATACATACCCTGTTCAGGGCAATGGACAAAATGCGCGCCGTCTTGTTTTAAAGCAACTTATTGGCAATTGCAATAGAGCAAATCCACGTTATAAATTCAGCAAAGTAATCAATCAGTCACGCAGGATATACCTTTATAGATTTCTTATTAGATTTCTAGTTAAATGTAAATTTAAGTCTAAACCGTGTAAAAAGGTTTTTGACTGTGTAAAGCTAACGAAAACCAATGCACTAAATCGAGGGCCTGCCCAGGTCTGAAAGGATCACAAAACCTGCATTAGATCGGTAAAAACATACCTAAACATGGTTTATAGCATGGGTTTGTCTGGGTTTCTGAGGTTGGTGCAAAGCAGTCTGCGCCTCCACTGGGTGTGGGCGGGTTGGCACAAACCCTTCTCCTTGTTTGATGATACCTAATGCCACAAACGTCAGGACAGGAACTCCAGCTTCCCCACTGCAGAAAGCCACCTAACGCTGTTTATGCAAATAAAAGCACGTTTATAGTGAGTAACTTTCCGCAGAGATTGTGTCTTAATGGGGCAGAAGTAGCAAAATAACTCACTAGGCCTTGGATATCTTACAGCAGCGTACCCGAGTGATTGAAGGCCTGAACTTCAGCAGGCCCCGAGTTCAAGTCCCCCCTGACTACTAGCTGGAGTTTTGAACAGCTGAATTCAAATCCTCGGTCACACTTGTGAAAAAGCCAGCTGGTTCGCTTCCTACTAATGATGCATTTCTTTGTATTATTTTTTCATTATCTATGAAAAGCCCCATAATTAAGGAGAGAGGATAATGAAGTATTTATTTGTTTGCTTATCTCTTTATTTATTGATGTTGCTATATACGGACCATATAAACGAGAACTACACCTCCCAGAAAGTGGGATGATCCTAACTTCATGTTTTCTTCTTGAAAGCTTTCGTTATTCCAATATTTCACCCCCTGAAAAAGCCATATCATTCATATCTATACCGTTTAATATTCCTACTCGAAATTTAGTACAAATTAGCCTGCGTAGAGGGAGACACTACTTCCAAGCGGCAGGCGCTTAGTGGGCGAAAGAGAGAACAGGCGCGCGCGAGGGAGACACTAATTCCAAGCACCTGCTACGCAGGCTAAGTACAAATCAAAATGATCATGGAAGCAATATTGGTCGCAGTAGAGAGCTAACCAAACCTTTAATATACCCTTACCCAGCTGACAGCTGTGCGTGATAAATATTCGCAACAGTGTAATTTTTCCGGGATATGGATCACCAAATTTGTTAGTCGATACATCAAACGAGCATTTCCGTGTTCCCGTGCACTTCATCAATTTTGTGTGGTGTACCCGTACTGGTGTAAGTACTTCTGTCACATTGTAAAACTCATAATTTACTGACGATAACCAGAGCGTTGACGATGATAATATTTGCGATACAGAAGATAGAAACTGCGGTGAAGAATGTGACACTGCTGATGGTGGTAATGATGATAATGATGACGATGGTGATAATGATGATAATGATGATGATGAAAACGACGACGACAATGACGACGATGAGGAGGAGGATGATGATGTTGATAAGGTTGATGAAGTAGGTACTTGTGACTGCGATAACGAGAACGAAGACTGTAGAAGATTCGTCGACACAATTGCCTCAGACGACAGATGAATGGTTAATATTGTAGCCGTATTACGAATAATATTGGAATTTGTGGCAGAAATTCCCAAACTTCCATGAGGCAACATTCCTTGAGAGGTCACGCTAGAGTGAGGAAAACTTGTAGCCATGGACGTGACGGATGTTGTCGAACTGTGATTGAAACTTGCGCTATTGCTAGATACAGTTCGATTTTTTAAAATAAATTCTATTCCTCGCCATTCAAGGTAGTGAAGAACAATAACTTGTCCTTTTGGACAGGTAAGGTTTCCAGTTGTATTGTCTGCAAACTCCCCCTCATTGACTGTGTGGAAAAAAAATTGAAAAATTGCTGATATCAAGCTAGATTACAGAATACCCGTCCATTTAGAATATACTTAATTTAACCTCAAAAAGCTTCCACCGCAGTCCCGATCCCGGAGTAGTCTTAAATTTACAAATCAAATTCCTTCTTTAATTGAGCAACGAACCGAAACAAGCACACTACAGACGAATCTCTCCTGTTCATATTTAACATGAAATAGTCCAGCAATCAAAGACAAGTCAAAAATATAACAAGGCTTTCGCTGGGTCACATAATCACAAACTCATCTAACACCTGTGCTGATCAAAGGAATAAAACGTTACCCTGGTTACTTAGGTAAGGCGATCAAGAAACCAAAGGAGGTCGAAACGCTAGATGCTAACCTCTTCCATTTACATGGTCGAATGAAAGAGCGCCTAATTCGTGGATAACAGACATCCGCGCGACTGAACGGGCGCGTGACTTCATTTTAATTATGGCAGGAGAGTGCCGCGACACTTTCCACTTCAAGACGGGAATTAAAGCAAAGAAACAACCCTTGTAACTTACGTGTTTTACAGTCATAGGAGATGTTGAAATAACTGCTGATACACGGCGAGCCTAACCCGTCAAACGAGCCAGAAACAACACAGGATGATTTCCCTTGACAGACCGGAAGCACTCGCCAGCTCACGTCGACCAACGTATTGCATGACGACACTTCCTGTCCACTCAGACATCTGAAGTTGTTCGATCGACCATACAGAGCTGACTGGATGAATATCTTGGTATTGTTGTAGCAAGTGATGGGTGTCTCGTACATGGCACAAACCTCGACAAAAGTAGCTGAATAGAAAAAGAACATGCACAGTAGAGCATAATAGAAAACATCATGGCTCACTTAAATATCTAAGAAACACTACCTGTCGCGGTTTAAGAGAAATCATTTTTAAGGTTAAATGAAGTTCGTGGCCTCTTTAGTTTTGGTTTGCTTTAGTTTCCACGAATGGCACCGATACTGCAGTTGGTCTGGCTTACAAACAGAAATAACGCTTTCGCGCTCACGGCTCTCTCAGCCTATTGAAACCGGGTCTTTCAACATGTTGCCTGGGGGGCTTTCCTGATCACTAGTCACACCACAGAGTAGACACGAGGTAGGTTAGTTCCCAAAGACAACGCAACTTCAGATGAGAACGGGGAGCTTGCGGAAAGGGCCAGACGCGACATCGGGTGATATTCATTTTACAGCGCTGACATTGGTCAATTCTGCTTTTTAGATCGGCGCACGCGTTCGGTACTGACCTCACGTTGTCTTTGATAAATCTACCTACAAATTATCATGACGCATCATCACTAGAGACACAAGCTTAAAATTCATGGGTTAATTAACTTTTTGCAATGTTTAATAATTGGTATTCTTAGGGCTCTCCCTGCCAGAAGACAGATAGACACTGACCAGATAGGCGCTGGTATACAACAGAGTTTTATGTAGTAAAATGGTCATACTACTCTCTTATGCAGCCATTCTTTGTAGGGTCTCATTTTCGGTATCAACTTTTAAGAAACATGCACTCACCGTTTGAAGTCCTGACGTAGGCAAGAATGAGAATAAAAACGCAAAAATAAAACATATTCCTTAGCGTCCAGTGAGTGTAATTCTGGGAAGGAAAATTAGCTTACATCAACAAACTGAAAAAGGCGTACCAAACGAAATGGGATTTCCTTTTTAATATCATGGGTGACAAATTGCTCTTTAATTTTGGGGCGAAAATTTGAACGTTAATTTATAATTTCACATAAGAAATCACAAAAGGTGCAATGGCAACATTTGCCATCTCAGCCCTAGGGTTGCAATGCGCACTGGATTAAACATGCCAAAGGAGAAAATGTTGTTGCGTTCACAATAGGACAATTGCACGATGACGACATTTGACTACAACTACCAGAATTCAATTCGGTTTTGCTTTGTTATTTAAATTTGTCAATCCCGCTGAGGATTAAAGAACAATAGCCTTAATTTGCACAAGAAAACAACAAACTCAAGGATTCTGGTAGTTGTAGTAAAATGACGTCATCGTGCAATTGTCCTATTGCTGTAGAAAAGGTTTACGTTAACAGGTGAAAGATTACTGGCATAAAAAGACTAAGAGGGATTCGGATGTGCTATTTATAGAAAATTTAGAACATTTATGAATCTTCTCGTTCCCATTTGTTTTCCCCACAAAATTTTGTATAAACATTATTCTCAATTTTCTCTTGGGAATAACAATCGTCCCTTAAGAAAATGAAAACTTATGCAAAATTTTTTGAGACAGACCATCAATGCATCATGGGAACGTAAAAGTAGCAGAATTTGATTGAAAACCTTAAACTTTCTATGCTTACACTTCTCGATACAATTGACGTGTCATAAAACTACACAACTGTGAGCTTAATTTCTCACCCGTGATAGTAACGTTACGGTATTAGCTAACGGAAAGATATACTAACGAAGTAAGCAAATACTAATTTTACGCCTGTTTCTCAAAATTCTAATAATTTTCCAAACCTTTAGACCCAAGTTCAATTTTTTCTTCCGTTTCACTCCGGAACAGCAATGGTGACATTAATTTTAATTCAAGTGGCAATGGCAAAGTGCTTGATTAAGTTCAAACCATTATAATGTATGGTTAACAAGTTTTCTCATGATAAGGATACGAGATACTAACAGGATAAACATGATAAAAAGAATAAATACATAGATATATACCTCTTTGAGAGGAACTCATAGGTTTTAGTCAAGAGCGATATCAGGCAATTGAGAGGTGTGTACATTATGAAAATAATTATACTTTTGGTTAATATTTTTCTCGCTATTTCTCGTTGATTAAATGCCGATGAATTTACCAAACCGTTGTATCCTTCACGTACCATATTAAAATTACCCCCCTCAGTAAATAATGATGCTTTTCTTCGTTGCTGTAGTCAACTTTTACAAAACATTGAATAACAAACAGGAGCCTGAATGTCTGATGACACTAAAACAGATTCTTTAGACTTACCTTTAATTAGCGATTGCCAGCAAGTCACGTTGATCCCAGAGTAGTGTATTGGCAATTAAAGTTGATTTCAGCCCCATCTTAAGCAAAAAAAAAGCGTTTTCAGAAAAGTGTTCACAAGTTTATAAAGCATCAGGAAAACGATTACGTTAAACTGATATTTTAACTCTAGGAAGCTAACATAATGATAAGTCGGCATAAGTCTTTCAATATTTGTTCCCTTAAATTTTGGATGTTTGCCGTTGAAACAAATGATGAGTTTTATTCATCCACTTATTATATGCTTTTCAAGAGTGACAGAACCCTTTCAACGACAACATGTTTTGGCTAAAGCGTAAAAAATCCCCTGATAAGGTGAAACCAGTAGACCATTTTCGATATATTAAAATTCATACTCAGCTCCGAGGCTTGGGGCAATAAGACTAAGAAGAATTCACGGCTGAACCCAAGGTGATTTCTTTTTTATTATTATTCCCCACAAGCAACGCAGCCAAGTGTGAATTTTAATATATCGGAATCATGAGACCAATTCCTTAATTTTTCATGTTGTACCAGTGACGTGATCAAAGTTGGAAATAAAGCTCCAATCTACTTCATTATGCTACATCACTGAGATTCAAATTTGATGAGAAGTATCTCGAAGACTTTCCGAAGATTTTTATACAGAAATTGACCCTAAAATTTTCGATGTTATTTCAAAGGCTTTTAAAAATTTTCGACACTGACCTACATCCGTGCTGGATTTCCACTGTCGCACAATTTTTACGTACCAGTTACCACCCTGTCCACCCTCACTTGGTAGTCATCCCTAGTCATCCCTATTCATCCCTTACCAACAATAATTTCTCTGAAAGTTACCCGACGTATACTGCCTAAAGAAAATTCCTGAAAGACTTGACACTACACAAAGAGGAAAATACGGTGACTTGAAGACATCACAATGATTCTGGTTAATTTGATATCTTAAAGTAGCGTTAGGATTAACAATGTTCTCGTCAGTAATTTGTTAAGAATTAAGCTTATACGCTGCCTATGATATAGTTTGGAAGTCAAACTGACTTTTTCTAAAAGGTCTGCTTTTCTTACAAAGATGATCATCTGACCTTACATTAGGTATTTGAACACTGTTTACTAGTAATAGGGCCTCCGTTAGAAGGAATCTAACAAAACAAGTGACATTCGAAAATGTAAGCGTATTTCTTTGAGCACTGAACAGCTATCAATTAATTGTCGTCTTCACGAAAAACGGTATTAATCTCACAATGTAACAACGTGGTATTGTCCGAAATTTAGAGAAAGTAAATCAATCGAACAATGAAGTGGTTTTCCAGCAGAAATATTTTTTTTAGGCGAGCATGATATAGCTGAACTGAGAAACGAACTAGCCACTAATACTGATACCATACAGGGTCGACCCACTAAATGAAATAAATCAGTTTAGGCCAGTATAGCTGCTTAGTGAGGAAGTCATGTTAGTGAGGAAGTCATGTTAGCATTAATATCCATAACACACAGTGAGAACTGGGCCAAACACGTCACCGTCGTGGTAATTGTGCGTCTTGTCTGAGGAGAAGGCTGGAATTCGGGTAAGTCAGATATAATTTCCTAAATTTTTAATGGTAATAGGTCTGAGTGGAGTCCAATTAAGAAATGGTAAACGTGCAGCTGTGCCTTCATAGAGTTATGCCTAGGAGGTTTGCTAAGCACTCAAGAAGCACTCAAGAACTCTTACGCTTCTTAATTTCGTGCTTAGCAACCTCCCGCGTGCATCAGTATTTAAGGTGATTCCCTAGTTTTGCACTGCGCATCTCTTACTGCGCATAACAAGATGGCCGCCGTAAAAAAGAGCATGTGAAGTAATATTATTAAAATGAAGTTGACTGAAGAGAAACGCTATTGGAATTTTTGCTTGCTGTTGTTTCTTGCCGAGGTGAGACTCAATGTGTTGGGAATGTGCATAACGTAAGCAGTACGCGTGTTGCTGAGTTCGACCTCCTCTCGGAGAACCTCGATAGTGGATGTTTAACTTGTGCTTACTCACTTTGATTTTCATTTAAACACTTTCTTTATCAGATTGTGTCCTAAATGTGATATCTCGATGTAAATTCTGTAAAAAGGGATTTTTTTAATACTTTCTTCCCCTTTTCACATACATTCTATTTTGAAACTCGCCCCAGTCCTCTCTCAAAATCGGAGAAAATGCGTTTGGTGCGCACTTTCTGCAGCTCTACCGCAAAAACGAGTACGGTGACCCCCATTTTTTATTTCATGATTTTAATGAGGACAGTGCTTCCTTTCGATGAGAAAAAAATTGGCACAAATCCATGTTCAGTTTTTTGGCAATTTTACTAAATTGTACGGATTGAGCCATCACGGGACGAAAAGCGCGCGTCCAATTTAATTCTACTTTGAAGCGTAAAGTAAAAACAAGGGCATTAAAAGGCATTTTTCTGGTACGTAAGTGGATAAACAATACATTAAAGTCAAATTCTGTGTGATGCCACATGCATCATCGAAAAAATCTCTCCTTTTTGTCTAGTTTTGGGCTGCCCGCGGTTTGAAGGTCCTAAATAGCCGTATTTGTCAGCATTGTGACGTCAAAACGAGCACGGTGACCCCCACTTTTTATTACTTTTTTATCATCTTCTTAACTTGTTACATCAGTGTACCAAGTTTTAGCTACAATCTATGTTAGGTTCTTTTACTATGGAATCACCTTAACAATTATTCCTCGAGCGCGAATGGGCTCTGAGTCAACATGTTCGGCCTCATGGGCTATTGACTCAGAGGCCATGAGGGCGAGAGGAATAATTGTTTTAGCAAAATC